GCATAATCAGGACTGACAGAACTTGCAAAATATGACCCATAATTCAGTTTCATTCATTCCTAATGAATTGTCAAGGCTAACACAGCTCAAAGAAGCTTTGTGACACGTAATCAGATCAGATCCAGGTTTGGCACGTTCCGGCCAGCTCTGCAGCCCCACACACCCTGCTGTGGGATTTGTGACTCTTCAGGGGGCTCCCAGGACAGGCTGCTTCACCATTTCTGTAGCACAAGAGTTTGCAAGTGTCAGGGCTCACGGGCACCTGCCCACTCTTTATTGTTAAATTTCCTCTATACTCAGAAAGAAATTGGAAGTTTTTGGAGAGCATTCATACTGTTTTACAGAAAGAAGCCTTTTAAAGTTAAAACACTTACAGAACTCTCCGATTCTTGTCACTGTACACAAAGGTATTCACCATAAAAGCCTCAATGTGATAAAGAATCCAACTCAGCTTGCTTCAATCTCCCAAGGAAAGAAACTTTTTTTTTTTAGGTTTCTTCTAGCAGCACGAGGGGAAAAAAGCTACCTCATTACTTGCATCACCTGTAGTGTGAAATTAATTTTCCACTAAGCAACATATTTCTTGTATATCAATACTGGTTATTATAGAGATTTTTTTTGCTCTGCTCCAGATGAAATCTCTAAGCTATAACACAAGTCCCTGGCAGGTGAAATACCCATCATCTACCCACCTACTGCCAACCCTGAAACAGTTTTCTCAAAGCAAAAATGGTATGTGCATAACTTTTCTTTGCTAGGTGAAGTATGAGCTATTCAATTGACCTTTAATGATGCTGAAAAATAAATATTATCAGCCCACTCCCACTCTCAGATTCAAACTAGAAATGACTGAGTAACTTTTCCCTCAAGCAGAATGATTGATCCTGCTTTGTGGCTCATATTCACATGATACAATTTTTCGGCTTGGTTAGTGGAGCTGGACTTCAGGAGTAAAGTGGGGAGAAGAAATCAGTGCACACTCCTCCCACCCCTCACCCCCAGCCAAGCTCCTCTGCTGTGATTGCCAGCATGGGTTTTTGTAATTGCTGATCACAACCCCTCTGACACCTTGCACCAGCAAGGACAAAGGAGATCATATAAAAGAAAAGTCCTGAGATGGAAAACAAGGGTTTGTAGGGCTCTTGGTGTTGCCTTATTATCTCTGAATAGAAGACCTGTAAGGAGGTTGTAGCAAGATAGATGTTGGTTTTTCTCCCAGAAGACAAGTGACAAGATGAGGAAATGGCCTCAAGTTGCACCTCAAGTTTACATTGGAGATTTTGAAGAATTTCTTCACTGAAATAGTTGTCAATATTGGAGCAGGCTGCCCAGGGAAGCAGTGGAGTCACTATCCCTGGAAGTACTTAAAATACATATAGATGTGGCACCTAGAGACATGGTTTAGTGATGGACCTGCAGTGCTGGGTTAACAGTTGGACTCGATGATCCTAATGGTCTTTTCCAGCCTAAACAGTTCCATTACTCTCTGATTCTATACTTCACAAAAAATCAAATCCAGCTATTTTCTCTTTGCAACTCAAATTCTAGAAATGTTGCCAACTGTTAGATAATATATTATTCAATTAGTAAGAAGTAAGAATGCTTGGAACAAATATAAACCTTCTAATTTGTTTGGTTTTTTTAAGAACTTAAGGTTACAATTCATGTAAAACTTGCTTCTAATATTATCTCTTATTCAGAGCTGGAAGAACTGACTGTGCACAGACTCAGTGACTTGATAAAGGCTGCCAGAACAACATCCTCCATCCATGGTTCCTGACTACATTTCAGTGGGCTTTTAAGTTGCAATGTTAAGGGAAAACTCCATAACTTCACCTGCAATCTACAGGTGTTTATAAATCAAGATCATTAGGACTACAAACCCCTCTCTTCTGAAAAAAACTCAAATCTAGGAGGATTTAAAAAAAAAAGAAAAATTAAATTAAAAACTAAAATAAATATTATATTACCTCATGAGACTTCATACTTGCTTGCAAAGGGGAAAGCAAGTCTGAGTGTATCTTAAGGAGATCACTTCAAGACTTAAGACCTGTAAGTCTCCCAAGAGCACAACAGGAGAATTTTCTTTCTGCAAAATACACGCCTCTGCTTGGCTCTACTAGTGGAGCTGGGACAGTCATCTCAGTTGAGCTCTGCTCGCGCCAGCTTCAGAAGCCTGATGTGATTTCCATTGAAGGGGATCACTAAACCTCCAGCAGCAACTGGAACAAGCCACTAGGACAACAGCAAGTAAAAAGAAGTATTTGATGGAGGAAATTAACAGAATGAGCTGGTGTCCAAATATGACTAGTTTCCAATATGTCCATTTTTCTCTTCTTTTCCTGTTCCACCTCCATTTGCTACAAGAATTTGAACAAATGTTCCTAGTCCCTCAGTTACAGCTCAGTGATTTCTGTAGATGCTGTCTCCCCCTTTCCTTATTCCCCAAACTTGAGATCTCAAACTTCAAAACATATTTGTAATAGTTGGTAGTGCATAGTACAAAGTGAGCAGGACTCAATAAAGACCCAACATTCCTGTCTTTAGACTAATTTGGCCATGGAAAGACCTGCAGGGATATGTCTTCTCTAAAGAGCCAGTCTTAAAGACAGAAATGCTCTGCCACATTTCCCCGCTACGGAATACAGAGTTGGAAAGCCTGAAAGGAGGTATTTCAGTGTCATGGGAGATAATCCATAATTAAAGTTCATGTAAGAATGATAGGAGAATTTGGCATTGCCTGAACGGCTGAAATAGCCCAGTATCACCCATAACATTCGGGCATGGTGGTACAGACAAGATGTTGATATAATGCAGGCTTTTTCTTAGGGGTTTTGCTCCTCATTATGAGAAAAGGGAAGAATTTAAGAATGGCTTTTAAAGAGGAGGAATTGTGATCACCTAGCAGTGATTAATCAAAATATGTTTTAGAAGAAAGTGTTGCAGTATGACAAATTGAAATATCCTTTGAAGCCAAGATAATTATGGAGCAAATCTCAGAAATGTATTTTAGCAAGAAAGTTATCACGTGCTGGAAACAAAAGCGTTCTTTTATTCCTATTATTTGCAGTATCATAATCTCCAGAATCAAAAGCTAGCTCTGGCATGCAGCAAAGATGTTTGCTTTAAAATTATATGAAATGCCAGCAGAAGTAAGAAAATACCTACGTATATGTATAGGTGCTACAGATGTGCTCACCCACATATTGTCTGGGTCTCTGAGCTCAGAAAAACCTTCCCACAGACCAAACAAATAAATTAATCTTTCCACTTAATTCTTCCTCTGTTAGGTCCCCACTGGGGAGCTTCCACCATTGTAACATGAGTCACATTCATGAGTCACACTGATACTTCCCCTGCAATAAGTCCTCCATCAGAGTGCTATTCCAACCCAAAGACTTGTTCATGGCACTGTTCTCACTCAAATTTGAGAGACAATCACTCAGGTGGGAGATAACACTATTTTCTGATAAAAAAAACCCCAGATTTGGCCCCAAACTGATCCCAAGAGAGAGAGTCACCATCATCTGCTGGTTTAAAAACCAGAAGACCTTTTTTCTTCCTTTTACTCTGCAACATGTTGAGGACTGCCCTTCTGCAAGTTACTTGGAATAATTCTCCACAAAACCAGATGACATCCTCAGTTGGTGGGCTGCCCATTCCTAAGCTCAGAACTGGACTCTTAACTTCTCTGTTTCACCAGAAAGGATGCCAGAACAGCACATTGCTTCTTCTTAGAAGCAATAGTAATATAACACATTTATTGAAGACACACAGTGAATCCGCAATACTTTTTCAGGACTTTCTTTCATAATAATATTCCATAAACACTTCACTGATGTAAAATCCAATATATTTTATCATGTACTTGATATGTCTCATTGGAAGGTACTTCAAAACACCACCCCAGCTGTGGAAAAAGACCATACTATTTGTATGTTCAGAATAGCAGCATCTTGCTGGGAAATATGACAGTTGATAGGATTGAAACTTTAATAAAATCCACTGAAATGCACTCTTGGAAAAAATAAGTCATGGAACTTTTGAAGTGGAATCACCTGTCTAACCTATTTGAGACCCCCCCTACTATTTTATCAATTAATATCTATAAAAATACCCCCAAATCAGATGTCTGAACAGGCTATCATCGAAGAGAAAAAGGAAATTCAGGCATGCACCTAGAGTAATCCTGGTTGGTAATTAAAAACACAGCAACACAGACAGATTTTGCAGGTGCATCTTCCTGAGAACGATTCCATTAGTGTCCACACTGCGCAGATGGGCTGTGTTATTTTAAGGTTTTAATCAAAATACGTGAAAACAGGCACAGCGCCACGTGCATACTAATGCTGTGAAGTGTCAGCTGTGAAACAGTCAGTACACTCTTTTAAGAACACTAGCTATGTAAAAACACAGAAGCGAAGGAACTGCTGAATTAGGCAGTTTAGAGCAAGGCTCAGAGGCTACAGCTAAAAAGTGATGCACAGCACATTTGTAATAAATGTGGACTGAAGACAGCATAATCCTGTTAACACAGAACAGTATTCCCACATACTGATAGAAACTGCAGTGTCACACAGACAGAATACAAGAAAGTGTTAAGTCTTCAAAATCCCAAGGTATTAATTAATGATTAGGAAAACCAATCACCTTCAGTGAAGGCAAACTGCATCCCCTAATCCCAACTCAAGGGCTGACCAAACCTGATTCAGGGGACGGGCTCACCTTGCAGACTCTGTGATCTGAAAACTTTGTTGACTATGTAAAAAGATAAACAAATGCGGATTAAGAATAATGGGACACAGTTCCTTCTGGATTCTCTTTGTAAGAGACAGATCCTGTTCCTGCATGTCTGCATAATTAAAAAAAAAAAATTCTTCTGAATTTGGGTCTCCTCTATGCGCAAGGGAAAAATGAAAAGAAATGGATGCAGCAGAGGTTGTGTTCAGAGTCACAGTGCCCCAGGTGCCAGGCTTGCAAATCCAAAAATGTCCTCTTACCTGCACAAACAGAGCACCACCCGAAGTGGTGCCTCGTGCTCGGCTCCTGAGCCCAAGTGCGCCCAGCGGCGACTGCGATGGCGATGGGCGGGAGGGGCAGGAGCGCAGAGACAGACACACGGACACGGACACGTGCACAGGCACACACGGACACACTCCTCCAAACCCCTCTGCTCACACACGCACTCACAGGGACATGTCAGTGACACGGCGGGGATGGGCAAAACGCTGCATCCTCTGCACACCCACCCCTGCCCCGGCGGGGGAAACCAAGGGGAGGAAAGGAAGAGAAGAGAGAAAAGAGAGAGAAGAGAGAAGGAAGGAAGGAAAAGAACAAAGAAAGGAGAAAGAAGAAAAAGAAAAGAGAGGAAGAAAGAAGGAAAGAGTGAGAGAAAGCAAGAGAGAGAGAAAGAACTAGAAAAGAAAGATGGAAAGCAGAAGGAGACAAGAGGAGAAGAGAAGAGGAAGAGAAGAGGAAGAGAAGAGAAAGAGAAGAGGAAGAGAAGAGAAAGAGAAGAGGAAGAGAAGAGGAAGAGAAGAGGAAGAGAAGAGAAAGAGAAGAGAAAGAGAAGAGAAAGAGAAGAGAACGGGATGGAGCGGAGGGGCAGCGGGACCTGGTGGTAGCGGCGGGCGCGGAGTCGGCCCGGGCCGGCGCCCGTGCGGGAGACGGACCGGGAGAGGGACTGGGAGAGGGGCCGGGCAGGGCGGGCGCGGGGGTTAAGGAGCGAGGGGAGGGGAAGGGACTGGGCGGGGAGGGCTGAGGGCCCCGGCGCTGGCCGGGAGCGGGGGGGCGGCCCGGGAATGGGGACGGGTCTGAGGGATTCGGGCGCTGAGGAGCTGAGGACGCGAGGGTGGGAGATGTGGGGGATGAAGGAGGTTCGAGGGAAGGGGATTGGGGGTGCCTACCCGAGGGGTAGAAATGTGCTCCCCGGAGGGCAGAAAAACGGGGGAGCCGTGTCCCCGCAGTGTGGGGAGGAAACGTCCTTTCTGTCTTAGCAAACAGGTGGTTTCTGCTTTTGCCTCCTCCCTGAGCTCAGTGTCTAAATAAGAAGGCCTCAGACGGGATACTTTTGCTTGAATTTCAGCTCTGACTTGTGTGCTGGAGCAACTATTTCTTCTCCAGACACATCCCCTGTCCCCTCTGGTGCCACACATGCTGCGGTTTCTGTCCCTGTGGAAGCATTTTGACGGCTGATTCCACTGTTCCATCAGGGATGGATGTCTACCACAGGGAACTGATGTCTGTCCTAAGGTGCAGATCTCCAAGTGGAACAAAGGACATACAAAGGATGTCATCAGTGCCCATGCATTTATTTAGCATGACTGTAAACATAGTTTCTCAAGTTGCCCAGAAAAGTGGTGGATGCCACATCCCTGGAAATGCTCAAGGCCAGGTTGGAAGAGGCTTGGAGGAACCTGATCTAGCTGAAGGTGTCTCTGCCCAGGGCAAGGGGGTTGGAATGAGAGGATCCTTTCCAACTAAAACCATTCTGTGATTCTATGACAAAAGCAGTTGCAATCTAGAGCAGATCAGTGGGCCAAGATCTAGATCAGGTTAGAAAGCTGTGCCTGTGTTTGCTATAATTTCCAAGTGCAGAATTGAGGTCTTAGGTGTCAGCAGAGCTGTGGCCGCCCAGATCCATACCCACACAGCTTTGGTGGTAGATTGATGGGTTTGGTTTTTTTTTCTGGTCGGTCTGCTACAAGGTAGCAACAGATATGAGACTGCTTTCGGTTGTGTTACATCTCCCCCTCAAGATGAAGAAGCACTACAGATACTTCTCCACAAAGTTTTCAGCTTTGCAAAGAGAAATCACAGACCAAATTCAGTTTACTATACTTCGGAATTTTCTGGGGAATGTGCATTGAGTATCAGATTGTCAAAACGTGCTTAGATTCAGTGGATTTCTGTCCTGTCAGTTGCTTGGAGAGGGCAGCTTTCTGTAACACCCCTTGCCAGTTACAGATGTTATCTTCATTCACTCCAGTCTCGTCCCTGCTACTGCCAAGGAGACGAAGTGTATTAATGTTATCCTTCGTACGTTATGGGCAGAAAGTGTACGAAGTGTATTAATGTTATCCTTCGTACCAACTCATGGGCACCCTGTGCATTTGTAAGAGACCTGTAAATCTCTCAGTTCCTCCCTTCCTGGGGCAGAACACATTCCTCATCTTCTGTCTGGGTACAGATAGACTTTGCTGACAAAGAAGGATCATCACCTTTGCTGTTCCCTCTCTGGTTTCCTGCAGGGATCTCTATCTCAATAAAAGTGAGAGCCTGAGTCAGCAAAGCACTTGAGGTTAGTGTTCATAGTGTGGCTGTTTAAAATTTCATAGCGGGATTGCATTCTAGGCACAGGTCATTAGACAGTCCGTTCAGTATATATGTATATGTGCGGGATAGAGACGAACACAATATACAGGTGTTACGTAAAGAAATAGTATGGAATAAGGGGTGGAGAATGTGATGGTTTCAGTCTAGGCCTTCCTGGAAACCAGCTTGTAACCAGGAAGGAACTAGGAAGGTGACCAAGGAAGTATTCCATGCTATTCCTTTACGTAACCTAGGGTATAAATAAGGCATTGATAAGATAGTTCACTCTCTTCTCTTCCGGCGAGGTTGGAGAACGGTGGTCCCTGTCTGGGCCTGGCTTATCTGGAGCTGAGGCCTACAGTAACTGCTGTTATCGGCCACGCGTGAGGGGGGAGTGCTGGGCTGTGTCCAGACGTACTGCTTTCTTTCAAGGGAAGTGGTGAGCTCTTGCCAATTCTTCAGCTTTGCTGGGTTTTTAGATTGTGTAGATCTGTTTTATTATTTGTCCCTTTTCACCCTATTTTATCCTTTTCCCTTCTCCCTTCCCCCCTCTTCCCTTCGACTTCGGGAAGCTATTTGGGGTCATAGATTTATATACATATAATTCTCATTGTATATCTCTGTTTTATACATAATATATATATATTTTTGCTAGAACTTTGGCTGCCTGGTTTTTCGTTTTTTTTTCCTTCCCTCTCTGGGAAGGAGACCCTGTTGTCGAGTTTCGGAGACTTGGCAGGAAGCCGACTCCAAACTTGCACAACAATTTGAAAGAACAAATGAAAGAAAACGTCTGTGAGTGCACGAAGGTACGAGATTTCTTGAGGACCCACCACCTGTCTGACCCCTGCCTAGCTTTTGGAGTGGTTGCATGGTTTAGTCACATCACTGTCATCAGAATTAGCCTTCCATTAGTCTACAAAAAATAGATGTTGTATTTAATTCTGAGTGTGCATTTATAAATCTGAGAAGGAATCATCTGTCTCAGACTGTTTCCATTCCAGCATTCACAAACTGACTTAAAAGGATTGGTCGGCCGTTGGAACAGGCTGTCCAAGGATGTGGTGGAATCACCATCCCTGGTAGTGTTCAGAAAACATGTAGATGTGGTGCCTATGGACATGGTTTAGTGGTGCACCTGGCAGTGCTGGGTTGATGACTGGGCTTGATCTTAGAGGTTTTTTTCAACCTTAATGATTCTATGAAAAGTAACAGGAGGGCAGGGGGTTGCTCAACTCTAGACCAAGGCAGGAAAGTAAAATTTTTCCTGTAATAGAATGTTACATTTTTTATGCCAACTTTCTGCATACCTTTCTCTTCAAACCAATTTTTAAAAATCTTTTTCTTTTCAAACCAATATTTGATTAAATATTATCTCTACTTGAGGTCCAATTGTTAAGCCTGCAGGATGCTGGTGGTTTTCTTCCTAAAGCTTCACCTTCCCAAGAATTTGTTGACTATAACAGGAAAAGGATCTTACCATCACGTAAGCTTGATCTGCTGTAAGGGAATAAACCAAGTGGTGTATGGTGCATGTAAGATGAATGTTGTGTACACTAAAGAAAACATAATCACTTCTCTCTGTCTGTAACAGTGACCTGGTTTGTATTTACATTTTGCAGCAGTTACTATCTCACCTACTGCATATAATAATCATCTGTCAACATACTTACAGCAAGCTCAGTTGTTAAAGTTGTTTCTTCTCTTTACATTGGACCAAGGTGTTTAACAGGAAGAAAATCAGTCCTCTTTGCACATATTTTGTCTCCAATGATCTGGGAAGAAGCATAAACTGTTTTTAAGAATATGTAGATGGCAATTCAAACTGCTGTCTTATTGGGATTTCTGTTGGACGCAGCACTGAATCAGCAGCTCAGAGGGTTATCACAACCATCAATGAACAGATACATAACTCAATTTCCCCATATTTTTCAGTTCTTTCTGTTCTGATTGTGAGACTTTGATTTCCATTTTCACTCTGGGGTTAGGAATATAAGAGATGACTGTACTGCATCAGGAAGAAGGTCTGTGTAACCTGATATCTTATCCTCAGGAATTGATGCCTCAGCAGGTGTGTAGGAAAACAGTAATCATTCCACAATGCTTCCCCAGAATAGCATCTTGGATTATGATTGTGGCACAGGGATTTCCTCACCAAGACCTGGTGTGTGGCTTGAACAGCTCACAGTCCTTTCTTCTTTGGGAAATTTACTGGCAACATTTAAATTCATATAAATGCTACTTACAAATGTTTTGTGGCAACTTATTTGGCAATAGTTCACTCCCAGGAATTACACAGTCTGCAAATCATAGTGACTTTACTGCCTGAAACTACTGATTTGATCACAGATATAACCGTATCACCATAACCATCACCACATTTTTAACTCAGTAGCCTTGCTGCAGTTGTGCAGAGCTTTTTCTTCTGCCTGGTTAATGGTGTCTCAGGGCTCTGACAGGTTTCTTATACAAATTCCCTAAAAATTCTGTTGCAGGCAAGGCTCACATCAGTAGCTGTGTGTTAGCAACTCATAAATTCTTAGGAAACAAGGATTTGCATCACTGGGGAATACTCCTGAGCTTTTTGTGTCTTTATATATTTTCTCTTGTACACACTATATGTTATAGTCCCTAAAGGCTTACATTTCAAGGCATGAAGTTGATTCAAATAGTCTCTTTTTAGAAAAAGTCTACCTAGCATAGAAATGTTTCTTTCTCTTTCCTGCGGTGTAGAATTTTCTATTCCAAAACCTATTAAAAGCAATGAAAGGAAAAGACTAAATTCTGTAGTGGAATTTATTTTCTGTCTCGTGCTGCATTATGCCTTGTGTGCTCCACTGCATTATTGCACTGCATGTCAGGGTTTAGTTTGTTATAGGTTTTATATGATTCATGTATCATGACAGTTTGCTGTTTTGGTCTTACTTGCTCTTATCTTACTTTGTTATTGTTAGTGAATTATGGGTTTTGTAGTTCCCAAATCCTGACACATAGAT